CAACACGCCAGGAAGCCTGTCTAGAGAGAGCCCTGACACTTACCTGCACCCCTCCTCACAGGGCACAGGCAGGACCTTATCTGCAGGGGTGGGATAGAGGCCTCTGCACAGGTTACCCCTGAATGACCTAATACTCCTGACTGCTGCTTGACCTCAGGTTATTCAAGGAAGAACCTGGATTCCTTCTGGCTCTGTTACTCCAGGGGCATATGAGAGTCCAGACCTCCAACTCTGGGCAGTTACTTGGGTCAAGGGTCTTCCCATCCCACTTCCTAAGCTGATTCCAGGGTGGCTGTCAGCTCCCTCTGTCCTAAGAGGACCCTCCTGATCCATGTCATGAGGGGCCACAACTCTTTACCAGCCCCCTTCCTTCCTCTCCAGGAGGCTTCACTCCAAGGCCCAAGTCTCCACTTTCCCATCCCTGTCCGGCTCCTGCCTCTCCCTAACACCCTTTCCCAGGCCCCCAGGACTCACACCACTCACAACAGTAAGAAGCAGAGTGAGAGGCAATGGTGGGCCCAAGGGGCAGCAGCTGTGAGGAGCTGGCACTGTGCCCTCTTCAATAATTCATTCCCGGGGAGGCTGCAGGCACCTTGTCCTCATTCTGAGCTAGAGATGGCTACCACAGCTCAGAGCCCTAAATTGAGAAGGGTGGGAGTCATGGTGGGGCAGAGGGCTAGTGGGAGCAAGTAGAAAAGTACCCAGCCTCCAGCTCCACGCTGGCACCTTTCCCCCTACTCTCTGTTAGAGAGGGTCCACAGACTTGCAGTGAGCCAGAGGGACAGAGAAGAAGGACCTTACCAGAGCGCCTCATCCCCACTCTCTCCTGCTGTACACGCCAGAGTCAGCCTCTTCCCCCAAGGCCAGGCTACCCTTAGCCTCTTGTCAGTAGCCCCACTCTCCTAAAGGATGCACAAGCTCCCTCTGTCTCAGGAGTTTTTGGAAGCCCTGGCATATTTCAGTTGCCCTCACTTGGGAAACACATTCTCCAAAAAGCTCTTACTTAGGCCTGTAACCTGAATCAAACATCTCAGAACCTCTTCCAGGGATCCCCACCCCCACCCCGTGTCTTTCTATCCCAGCTTCCCCGGCTAACCTCTGATGTTTACAAAGCTTGTGAATGTGTGGGGGTGGAGAAAGGACTTGAACTGACCCTTTGGGCAGTGCTGTGATTCAGTCCTTAAGTGTTAGGAGTTTGGCAAGAGCAGTTCTTTGCCTCTAGTGAAGGAGAAAAGGTGGTAAAGTCTAGGCCAGCCCCTCACCCCTAGCCATCCTAGGGATCCTGCCTCCAATACCCCTCCCTCCACCTGGGGCAGCCCTAGAGTTCCACTCTTGTCCCAGCCTCATTCCTCACTCCAGTCCATTCTGTGGGATTGGAATCACCTATCACATGCAGTGGAGCCAGAGGAGAAACTGAGATCTAAGATTAAAATAAATATACACAGTATCAAGTACCTACTGTGTGCCAGCCTGAGCCAGACTCTGGGCAGCAAGATCACAAGAGCCAAACATCTCAGTCCTCCCACCTCCCCCTCCTTCCCAGGTACCAGGAGGAGCCCCCACCCACAGAGCAGACACACTGTCTGTCCCAGAGTGGGTAAGAGTTGGGTATTAAAGACATAGCTGGTTCCCCAGTCCCTCCGGAGGCCTGGTGCAAGAAGGAAGGTGCAATCTTGCTGGGCACTGTCAGCAAGAAACTCTTCAGACATATTTATAGCAAGTGCTGCGTCAGGGGATGGAGTCTGAAAGTGCCTCGAAGCATCAAATAACACCAGAGGCCCAGAGGCAGAGCCCAGGAAAAGAAGACAGAGATTGCAGCAGGAAGGATTGAGGTTTGATGTTGGAGGAACTTCCCAAGAGTAATATCTGGAATTGGCAATGGGGATTCCCTGTGGAAGCTACTTCTGCAGAATTTTCTCAGTAGAGGAGGGGTAGACACCTTTTTTTTGTTCTAGGTAGAACAGATATAAAAGGATGGACATGGTGATTTCTGCCCTCTTGGTGCACAGATTTTCAAATGCCAGGGCCACTAAGCACAGTTGTGCAGGTTATGCCTTGCTGATGAGGCAAGTCAAGATTGAAATCCAGTTCTAGATCAGTAGGGCAATCTCCTGGTGCAGAAGTAAATCTGCACAAAGACTAGCCAAAAGGGCTAGCAGAGACCCTGCCAAATATCCTGAGGTCCTGACAACCTAAGGGTCTGGGAGGTCAGGAGACAAGGTGAGCTGGACCCAGGGAGAAGGGATGAAGGCTGCCTGGGAGGACCTGAGGCCCTGTATGCTAGAGCCCAGGGCTTGAATGGGCCAAGCTAGTGCATGGCTCCCAAGAGTGCATCCATGCTAGAGGCCCCTCTTACCAGGGTACCCTGCCCAGATACTGTGAGGTCAGAGATGGAGGACCTGAGGGAGCTGAGTAGGGAGTAAGAGGATGTGGGTTCTGGGCAGGGCCCAGTCGTTTCACGTGGAGGGGACTGGGAGGAGGCAGTTCTAAGGACCAGGAAGCTGGGCTCCTGGTTCTCTGAGGTTCCTACCTTCTCTGCATAGCAGACAGAGAAAGGGTATGTGGTCCAGAGCTGGGGTGAGAATGACAAAAGTGAGGGGTGTGGAACTGTCCCATGCACCTCAGATTCCTTCCGATAGGCTCAGGGAGAAGTAATGGATATTTCTATTTGAAAGTAAGATGTGGAGAGATGGTTTCTAGGCTATAGGTTCAGGCGGAGGGGGGAGGAAAGACGGAGGGGGAAGACAGGGACAATTGCTTGCCTCGGCCAACAGCCCCCACTCCCCCCCCCCACCTTCTTCTCCTATGGAAACTTAAGTGCCCCAAGGCCCAGAGGTCCATTAGCTGTGGTGGTGGGGGGGGGGGGGCCC